ATTTTGATTGGTTAGTTTAGCTCTGGCGCTGATTTTAAATTGTAATATGCTCATAGCTATAAATTTATAATAATTTATTTTATATTTATTAAAATTTTAATAAATTTTTGATTTTTGATTTTTGATGTTGATTTTTGTATTTTGATGGTGATTTTTGATAGTGATTTTTGATTTATGATTTTTAATTTAAAATTGAAGTGAGAATCCCTGTTTTAGACAAAAAAAGTCAAAGTAATGTTGACGCTTGTGGTGCCACTTGTGTCATTTGCCAGAGGGTCTGACAATTCGGTCATTCAGACATTCGGCTTCCGGCATTTCACATTGATTAATTATATAGTGTAGGTGCTTCTAATTGTGTTGTACGTACGTCATTTGAATATTTTTGGTAAGTATTATCAATCAGTAGTGAGTAGTCAAAAAGATAATATAGTGATAGTCAGTAGTAATTTGTCCTAACCCTCATTTCGTACATTTCGTGCAACAGTAATTTTTCTTATTTGAACATTTGTTTTTCTTATTTGAATATTTGTAACCAAAAAAGAAGTTTTTTTATTAGGTGCGAGTATTTAGAATCATTTGTTCGTTTTTATTAAACGTTTTAGAAACACTTTTTATAATGCGACACGTGGGTAGTCCATGATGTTACTGTTAAAACTCCCGTTTCGTTTTTCACTTTTAGAATCATTTGTTACTTTTATCGAGCGTTTGTAACATTTTTGATTGAAAAAACTCATTACAGGTTCGATCTTTATTGACGGTAATAATGGCTATTGAAGAAAATGATGTTGAATTTACTTCTGACGAGGAAGTTCAATATTTGATGGAAGCACAAGGCGTTGATTATTGTATGTTAGTATTTATTTGTAGGTAAATTTGAATTTTATAAATAGTTAATTAATAAGTTTGAATATATATATTTTTTTAAAGGGAATACACTGGATTTCTATGTGAAGTTTTAGGCATTCAACAGGTGGAAAATAATAATAAAAATTTGTTCAAAGCAATAATAAGTAATGGCACTCAGAGATTTAATTTGTTAATTTGGGACCAAACTTTAGTTGATAAATATTGCGACAGTCTTATTTCAGGCATGGTATGGAGTAAAAAAATTTATATAGTTTTTAGATTAAATATATAATTAAACATATATGTATTTTTTCAGATTATGTCTATGGATGGAGCACAAGGGCAAGTAGTTCAAGAAAGAAAATTTCATAGAGAAATGAAATGCTTAAACTACGAGCTAATAATTCAGAAGAAGACTAAAGTGAATTTTTTCGGTATACGTAAAGCTGATAAAAAACCAGAGCCTCCAGTAACAACTATTCCGTTTCTTGACCTCGCTAATGCTGAAGGAGAAATAAGTGAGTGGTATCTATAATTCTTCATTTCATTCTTTTTATTTTGTTGATAAAATAATAACTTTATTCTTTTCTTTTTGCAGTTGTTCAAGCATACATCAAAACTGTGCCTTCTGCTGCCTTAGGTAAGAATGGACCTGTCATTTGCATCTGGTACAATAACCGAAGGAATGCACAAAGTGGATTTGCATATTAGTAATTTTGTTGTTTTAAAAAAGAAATTTTGTTTTAAAAAAAATTAACCAAACATTATTCATAAGTACTTAATTGTTTAACGTTTGATATTATATATTGAAACATGCTGGTCAATTTCAATCAATATTTATATTTTTTCAAAATGTATAATTCTAGAATTCTAAAATCTAGAATATAAATATAAGAATGATGACTGATTAGAGAAACTTTTCGTATAACTTAATATAATTTTGCAGCATTCATATATTTTTTCTGTTTAAGTAGTAAACATTTAAGATTTTTACAAGTATTAATGACGTTGTGATATCCCGAAAGGGAATTTTATATGTGGATGTACGAGGTGTGTTCAAAAAGTAACGAGAATTTTTAAATTTCGGGTTTGGAGAGTCCGCTTGTATAAAATTTTTTTTTATTATGTTGGTACACACGCCTCTGAAGTACGATAAAATTTTCAGCAATATTCATTGCTTACTTTTTAAGTGGCAGCCGCTAACGTTAGACGTGTTTTTCGAGCTCGGCGATTTTCGTTTGTGAAAAAAAATGGATCAAAGAATTTGTAATAAATTTTGCGTAAAAAATGAAATAAAGTGTAGTAAAGTTTGTCAAATGTTAACAAAGGCATATAGTGAGTCTGCTATGAGTAAAGCAAGGATTAATGAGTGGTATAAGTGTTTCCAAGAGGGCCACGAAAACGTTGAAGATGACGAACGACCCGGACGCCCAAGCACATCAACAACCGATGAAAACGTGAAAAAAGTGAAAGAAATGGTTATGAACGATCGCCGAATCACAATCAGAGAAGTCGCTGATGATGTTGGCATATCAATTGGCTCATGCCATCAAATTTTTTCGAATGTTTTGGGTATGAAACGTGTGGCAGCAAAATTCGTTCCAAAATTGTTGAATTTCGAACAAAAACAGCGGCGAATGGAAGTTGCTCAGGAGTCGCTAAATGAAGTCAATAATGATGCAGAACTACTAAAACGTGTTATAACAGGTGACGAAACATGGGTTTACGGATATGATGTCGAAACTAAGGCTCAATCGTCCCAGTGGAGGCATTCTGGATCGCCAAGACCGAAAAAGGCTCGACAAGTACGGTCGAATGTGAAGGTTATGCTCACTGTGTTCTTCGATTTTAATGGCATAGTGCATTATGAATTCTTGCCACAAGGTCAAACAATCAATAAGCAGTACTACCTACAAGTTCAACGTCGTTTGCGTGAAGCAATCCGAAAAAAACGCCCGGATTTGGGGCAAAACAATTCATGGCTTTTGCACCACGATAATGCGCCTGCTCACACTTCATTGCTTGTTCGTGAATTTTTGGCCAAAAACGAAACTGTAACGATGCCTCAGCCTCCATATTCGCCAGATATGGCTCCATGTGACTTTTTTCTATTTCCAAAAATAAAGAGAACATTAAAAGGCCGTCGTTTTACAAGCATAGATGACATTAAAAGCGAATCGCTGAAAGAGCTAAAAGCTATTACAAAGATCGAGTTTCAAAAGTGTTTCGAGGATTGGAAAAAGCGTTGGCATAAGTGTATTGTATCCGAAGGGGACTACTTTGAAGGCGACAACATTAATGTAGATGAATAAATAAATATTTTTTTCATAAAATGAAAATTCTCGTTATTTTTTGAACACACCTCGTATGCATTTAATATTGAGACTGCTTAGAATAGTTTTTAAAACTGCATGAATGTATATGTATGCAATACAGCATTCACAGTGTAAGTTTAAAACATTTCATTAATTCGTTTTTTGTGCATTTCTCATTATTAATATGTATCGATCAAGAATTTTATCGAAAGTTATGTATGTTTTCACTCTGGATTTCAAAATAATATAAATAAATTGAAATAAATATTATGTATCATTCCTGATCACCCTATTCCCATCTCAAATTTATTTTTAATAATTCTCATAATATGTATTGATCAAGCATTTTGTAATTTTGTTCAAAATAATGTAAAAAAATTGAAATAAATATTATTTATCATCCCTGAACACCCTATTCTCATTTCAAATTCATTAGTTTTTGCAAAAAAAATTTTTGAAAATTGGCTCCCAGATCACAACATTTACATAGTTTACGTAAGGCCATCTACATTATATATAACCTCTTCGATTAAAAGTAGTTCAGGACCTTACATGAGTGTAAATAAAGGAACCTACATTTGCCGATGATTACCGTTCTATTTGGTCTATTTGCGCGACTAAGTTTATAATATACATGTATATGATTATTCATGTAAAAAGAGGTATTAATAGTGAGTTTGCTGTTCTTGAATTTGAAAACATTTCTTACGGCTAAACAGTGACAACGCACGTGGTAATTATTTATCTATAAAATTATTCTGACAATCACTATTCAAGAAGTATATTTATACCATACCTTTAAATATATATATATATATATATATATATACATAAATTTAATATAGGTACATACACAAAAATTAACATAACTAACGTACGATTACATAAGCTTTTTTAATGGTATCAATACCGTGAAACATTTTTAGGTTATAATTATTTGTTATACACTTGAACTATGAAAATTTCAATAATTTATTTTTAATTGAATTAAGTTTCTATTCAAATTTCTCAGATAATTGTTTGATTAATGCTTTAATAATTATTTTTAACAGTTGCTAAGTTTACTCTCGAAGAGCTCCAGTAAAGCATAAGCGATTGGGAAAAGAAGGTAAAGTTTACAAAATTTAAATTTTATAATAAAGTATTTAATCAAACCAATAGGATATACATATATAACTGTTTTTTCTGTTTCAGGATTCCATTTGTAGGTCATCATTAGTGTATATTTTTGGTGTTTTCATTATTTTTATGCTCACACATATCCAATAGTATATTTCTCAATTGATAATAATAATATTATGTAGTATGTATCACAAATCATTGAATAAATTATAATAAAATTGATTACACACAATCTGAAATTATTTTTATTTTTTTCTTCACATATTTATAACCAATCATATAGTATATACAACATACATACAAAAGAAATAAAAAATATTATACGAAATTGAAATTATATTATACGAATTTAAACTATTATACGAAATTGGAACTCATATATGAAATTTAAACTAATATATGAAATCTAAACTATTATACCGAATTAAACCTACATTATTACATTACATGAAATTAAATTTTTGTACGAATATTTAACATGCTCACAATGTTGTAAATAGCAATATTTATTTTTTGAAATTACTCTTTTAGTAGGGTTGGGTTTACATGTGGTGATTCGACATTAATAATTAAAGTAATCAATTTTTCATATATTTAAAAAATAATACATTAATTTTTAAGTAAGGTGATTTATTATACGTCTTTTTTAACAATTACTTTTAAAATTATTTACTTTTTCGTGATAGTTATATATTACAAATTTGTAATTTAAACATTATGCCTAGAAAAACTATTCGGTCACAAGAAGAAGAGGAGGCTTTTCAGCAAAATCGACGACAAGAAAGAGCAGAACGTCAGCGGTTTAGACGGCTACAAAGTCGACATTTGATTCATGAAAACAATAGGACTACACAGGATTCGACACCAATAAATATACAGAATAATACTAGACCGGATTATTTAGGAAAATTGGAAAATTCATGTCAGCATTGTCATGCATTACATTTTAAAGATGAGATGGTAAGTGGTAAAGGATTGTCATTTAATGACTGTTGTGGCCATGGATCAGTTTTTTTAGATCCATTATTGGAATTTCCTGAAGAACTTAAGTTATTATTAAAAGGAGAACACCGTCAATCTGTTCTATTTTTTGAACGCATAAGAGCGTACAATAATTCATTATCTTTTGCGTCCTTCAATGCTAACTTGGTTAATTTTCAATCACGTCGACCAGGTCCATATTGTTTTAAAATTCAAGGACAAGTATATTATCAAATCAATACATCATTATATCCGTGTTATGATGAAAATCCATCCTATGGTCAGCTTTTTATTATTGATCAAGAGGAAGCAATAAATTATCGAATGAACACATTTTCAAATTTAAATCAAGATCTTAACATAATCTTAGATACAATAATTCGGGAAAATAATGTTTTCGCACAATCGTATCATATGATGAGACAAAAAATTGTATATCAGCAAGAATTGTTTAATGAAACTGATCAGCCTCAACCGGAATTACAATTACTTTTTTCTTTGAAACCAGGGCAAGACAGGAGAAGATATAACTTTCAAAGAATTAATGAAGTAGCTGCTATATTTGCTACGACAGCTGATGGAGAGATTCCAGAATCGTATGTAACTATTAGAAATAAAAATACGAAATCATTACAATGTGTTAGTACAATGGATCCAAAAGTTGAGCCGTGGATATATCCATTATTTTATCCGTATGGTTCACCCGGGTGGCATAGACATTTACAATGAAAAGATGATGTCAACAAACGTGTAACTCGTATGACTTATTATAAATTTCGAATGGCAATAAGGCTCAATGAATTTAATTCATTCATTTTAGGTCGAAGATTGTTCCAACAATGGGTTGTTGATAGTTACGTGAAAATTGAAAAAGACCGTATTCAATACTGTAAAGATCACCAACAAGAATTGCGATCAGATACATATAAAGGTTTGAGTGATTATATGCAAAACTCTGCTAATAACGTGAATGGTCGAGTTGGTAAATCTGTCATTCTTCCATCTACTTTTATAGGTTCACCACGTTATATGCAACAATGTTATCAAGACTCAATGGCTTTGGTAAATGAAAAAGAAAAACCTAATATTTTTCTGACTATGACGTGTAATCCTAATTGGGTTGAAATACAAGAAAATCTTTTACCTGGTCAACAAGCATGTGACCGGCCTGATATTGTTGCACGAGTATTTCATTTGAAAAAAAAACGTTAACTTGATTTAGTTATAAAGAAAAAATTATTTGGTGAAGTGACAGCTTATGTATATGTCATTGAATTTCAAAAACGAGGTTTACCGCACATGCATTTACTAATAACGTTATCAGGAGGATATAAATGGACTACTGCTGAAATTATAGACAAATTTATTTCTGCAGAAATTCCTAATAAAACAGACAATTCGCATCTGCACAATCTTGTAATAAATCACATGACACACGGACCCTGTGGTGACTGGTGCATGAAAGATGGAGAATGCTCAAAACATTTTCCAAAACAATTTCAAAACGAAACAACCATGAATGAAAATGGTTATCCGCACTATCAAAGACGAAACGATGGCATAACTGTTGATAAAACAAACGATCACGTAGTAGATAATCGTTGGGTAGTACCGTACTGTCCAATATTATTGAAATTATTTGATTGCCATATTAATATCAAGCATTTGTGCCGTAAAATATTTGTACAAGTACATTTATAAAGGTCATGATGCAGCAACAATTATAATCCAAGATTCTGAAAATGGTAATATGGTTATACATAATGAAATCTATCAATATCTTGATGCACGTTACGTTGGACCTGTTGAAGCGTGTTGGCGCATACTTAGTAAACCTTTACAAGACAAGTCATTCTATTATTAGATTACCGATACATTTACCGAATGAACAAAATATAATATTTTCTGAATCAGTTAATGAGATAAATTTAGAATTTTTGCAAAATAAAAGCAGTTTGCTATTAGACTACTTTAAATTAAATAGAGATGATAAATCAGCAAGACAGTATTATTATTATCAAATTCCATCTCACTTTACACATAAAAAAATAAAGTTAATGGATGTCACTGTTACAAAGTGGCAGCCTAGAAAAAAACATTTTAATACAATTGGTAGGATGTATTTTGTAAGTCCAGCCCAGTTAGAACTATTTCATTTAAGATTATTGCTATTACATGTAAAAGGTGCTGTAAATTTTGAGCATTTAAGAACAGTTGATAACGTCATACATCCAACTTTCATTGCAGCTTGCTTAGCTTTAGGTTTAATTGAAAACGATGATGAATGGAATACAGCTATGAATGAAGGAGTGCAATGGATGATGCCGCAAAGACTTCGTTTCTTATTCGTTCGAATTTTAATACATTGTCAGCCTGTTAAACCAGAAGAATTATGGACAAATTTTCAAGATGCATTATCAGAAGATTTTTCTAGAACATGGGAAAAAGATATCGCTTATCAAATAGCATATCAAGATATTAATAGTATATTAAACAATGAAGGTAAAAGTTTAAACGATTTACCTTCAATGCCACCACTATTGCCAATTAATATTCTTCACGTTCAAGAGAATATCTCATTACAAGAAATGGCTGATAGAGGCAATCAGAAATATAATAATTTAAATCCTTCGCAAAAAGAGATAGTTGATTTAGTTATCAATGCTGTAGACAATGAAAATTATAGTGGACCTACTTGTATTTTTATGGAGGGACCAGGAGGATCAGGAAAAATATATGTTTATGAAACAATGTAAGATTTACTAACATCAAAAAATATAGAAGTATGTACAATGGCTTATACTGGTATTACTGCCACTCTACTTCCTAACGGTAAAACAGTGCATAAAATTTTTGGTTTACCAGTTCCCATGTTTAATGATTCAACTTCTAATATCAAAGTTTAATCTAAAGAAGCTGAAAAACTTTATAAAACTACGGTTTTTATTTGGGATGAAGCTCCAATGGCTCCAAGATATGCATTAGATATTGCAAACAAAGTTTTGAAAGATATTATGGGAAATAATTTACCATTTGGTGGAAAAATCATGATTCTGGGTGGAGATTTCAAACAGTTATTACCAATAAAAGTGAGAGGAACACGAAATGAAATACTGAATCTCTCTATAAAATACAGCCCATCGTGGAAAAATTTCACAAAATATATACTAACGACTAATATGAGGGTTCTGCCAAATGAAATTGAATTTTCTAATTTTTTGTTAAATGTTGGAAATGGTTCACTAAATGATACAGATGATTACATAGATATTCCTCATCATTGTATACTTCCCAAAACAGTTAGCATAATAGATGATATTTTTGGTCAACTAATTAAAGACAAAAAATTTGATGAAATGAGTAGTTGTGCAATTTTGTCTGCTAGGAATGAAGACGTAGATAAGATCAATAGACAAATAACGGATTCATTAGATGACACAGATCAACGCTTTTATACTGCTATTGATACTATCATAAACAATAATAATGGTGAATTCGATTATGTTATTATGCCGGAACATTTGAATGCTTTAAACCCACCATGCTTGCCACCTTACAAATTACATTTAAAAAAAAAAGTATCATAACGTTAATAAGAAATATCAGCATTAATGAAGGTCTATGCAACGGTATAAGGTTGCAAGTAATAGATCTATCAAATCATTTAATAAAATGTAAAATTTTAACGGGTGATAAAACAGGACAAGTAGTTTTCTTGAACCGCATTACTTTATATTGCGAAAACGAATATCCGTTTGCCTTTAAAAGGAGACAGTTCCCAGTTAAATTAGCATTTGCTATGACTATTAACAAAGCTCAAGGGCAAACCTTCCGAAAAGTTGTCGTTGATTTACGAAAAGATGTTTTTAGTCATGGGCAATTGTATGTAGCATTCTCTCGTGTTAGATCGTGCAATTCTATAAAAATCTATTTTGGAAGCCAAATACATTCGAATAAAGTAAAAAATTACGTTTACAAGGAATTATTTCAAGATTAATTAAATTTTGAAAATACATACTGTTAATTATATTGTATGGCCTTACTTACTTACAATTTGTTTAATATTTACATGAATACTTAATTAATGAAATATTATGAAATTTTTATATAACAATGTATAATTGAAATATCGATTTACAGCGCGCGTAGCGCGCGATAAACTTCTAGTATATAGCAAAACACAAAACAGTTTGGAGCAAAACTCCACCTAATATTCATCAAGTAGCTGCTCACAATGTTCTGCGATAAAGAAGCGGGATGTGTAGATCTACAGATACTTTGTCGGTAGGAGATACATTCAAAAAGATTATTACAGTTGAAATTGTCGACATAATTGTTGGTTGTACAAATCAGAAAGCAAAAGCCGTGTTTGAAAACTATAATGTAAATAATCCGGAATCGAATCGATCGTGGCGTCCCGTGACCATGCAAGAAGTGTATGCGTTTATTGGAATTTTGATATACTTGGGAGAAAATAATTCTAACACAGATCACACCAGCGAAATGTAGAAAAGCACTTCATATCCTTTATATCGTGCAGCAATGGGCGTAAATAAATTTCGTGTTATATTACGATTGATTCGTTTTGACGATGCAAACACTCGTCAAAAAAGATCAGAGCAAGACAAAGCTGCTCCTATTCGAGATGTATAGACAATGTTCAATTCAAATTTGGCTAAGTTGTATAAGCCAACCGAAAATTTGACTATTGATGAGCAGTTGTATCCATATCGCAGACACACGAAATTTACTCAGTATATTCCTTCAAAGTCAGCAAAATACGGAATCAAAATTTGGTGGATTCGCGATGCTGAAAACGCTTCTCCTTTGAAAGGAATTATTTACACGGGAAAAATTGGCAACGTTCGTGAAAAAAATCAAGGAGAGAGAGTTGTGAAAGAGCTGGCAGCTCCATTTAAAAATAGTGGTAGGAATATAACAATGGATGATTATTGCACTACTCTGCCAAAAAGTAAGGTGACTTTTCAAATTTCACGGGCAACGTACTTTCGATTATCGATTTTTTTGTTTTGTTATGTTGGTACACTCTTCCCGAATATCTGTACCAAGTTTCAAATGTATAGCATTTTTTATTTGGTTGTGAGAGGCGTAAAGGTTATAAGTGTTTTGCGTGCTCGGCGATTTCTTGCTATCAAAAAATATGAATCAAAGGATTTGCATCAAATTTTGTGTAAAAAATAAAATAAAGTACTCCGAAACACTTGAAATGTTGACGGTGGCATACGCTGAAACTGTTCTGAGTAAAAAAAATGTTTACAAGTGGTACAAACTCTTCCAAGATGGCCGGGAAGATGCCAATGACGAGCCTCGCTCTGGACGCCCAAGCACGTCAACAACTGATGAAAACGTTCAAGCAGTGAAGAAAATTGTTCTGGAAAATCGTCGAATCACTATCAGAGAAGTTGCTGAGGATGTTGGTATATCGCTTGGCTCGTGCCATGAAATTTTTTCTAACGTTTTGGGCATGAGACTTGTGTCAGCGAAGTTTGTTCCGAAATTGCTAAATTTTGACCAAAAGAACCGTCGCATGAGCATCGCTCAAGAACTGTTGAATGACGTCAACGACGACCCAGATTTACTCAAAAGGGTCATAACTGGTGACGAATCATGGGTATATGGTTACGATATAAAAACCAAAGTCCAATCGTCCCAATGGAGGAGCCCAGATGAGCCAAGACCGAAAAGAGCACGCCAAGTTCGATCAAATGTCAAAGTATTGCTCACTGTTTTCTTCGATGACCATGGCGTGGTACATCAGGAGTTCTTACCATATGGACGTACGGTCAATAAACAGTATTATCTTGAAGTTATGCGCCGTTTGCGAGAAGCAATACGAAGAAAACGCCCAGAATTGTGGAAAAACAATTCATGGCTTTTGCATCACGATAATGCCCCTCACGGTGGGTTTTAAAATATTTTAATTTTTTTGAATACCACCCCGGAAATTTTTATGAATATCTATTGCAGGAGGTTTATAGAACTAGGAAAAACCAACCCCGAAATCGTAGAACCTCAACTTTTCGTTTTATTCACATTGGAAATTTTTTTTTACTCTTTTGGCATTATAATCATTTTGGAAATGTTAAACTAGAAAAAAATTAAATTAAAATTGCTCATCTTTTAAACTATATTATATTTATTACAAATATATACATATATGGATCAAAATAATTTTTTTTTCAATAATGACATAATTTATCAATGCATTTTTTAATTTAAATATGGCTGCTGTTATATTCACAAACTGCTCTTAATAGATTTTGTGAATATTCAGGATGTGATTTATTAAGTTTATATTTACACCATGTCTTCTTGAAATCTGCATGGACTGATTCCATAGCTTGTTCACTATAAAAGCCAAGTCCTCTTTTATACATAGAACAAAAATATGGTACATGTTCAATAACTGCATGCACTTTAGGAGTGATACTAATCTCCAAAACTGCGTAGCTCTCCTTAAAATTATTTATGTACACTTTGAATTGAGGGTCCTGTTTATTTGAGAAGCAAGAATCAACTACATGACAGAAGTCTTGAAAACATTGAACATATTTCATACATCTTCCTACATATTTTTCAGAGATTCTTCGTAAAATGTCAACACTTTTTAGTAATTTTCTGCAAGAGTTGCCATTGAAAGAAGGTTTTCCATAGTATACTTCTCGATCTACATGACATTCTGTAACCCATGCTTGACTTTCATTTTCGAATTCTGATGCCATGCTTTCATACAACTTATTGACAACACCGAGTAACAAGTGCAGTTCTGGAGGTGTAATAAGGTCTATAATTTCTTTATCTTTTGTGTAGTTAAAGAGAGGTTTATTCACGCAGTTTTTGAAGCATTGGGCATTTTTTTTTTTACTTCCATCTTTTTCCCAAGCTTCCATGTTTTTCAGGCAATTAGAGAGTGTTCGGAGTACACCGCATGTATGTAATTCATCACTTGAAGCTGTGCACCAAGTACAAGGGTATTTGCTGGCATGTCATAATACCTATTAAAATATTTGCTAATTTCAAATCAGTGGCCACTGTACAATTAAATGTATCGAGCTTCAATAATGTCCATAGCAGAGAAATATTTTCAAAATTTTCCTGAGTTGATTCCACTAAACCAATGATGAATAATTTCATAACACTAGAACTCAAAAATTTTACATTTATACCATCCTTATATGACTGTCGCAATTTTTTTGATTTATTTTCAGTTCTGGCATCAATTTCACTACTATCTATCAAAGAAATACAAACTTTTAGAAAACCGCCACCCCCATCAATACCAACTTTGTAAGAACAGTTAGTTACATATCTTTCTTGTTCTATAAGTTGACATAGTTCAACAACATTATTACAAAAAATAAACGGCTTATCTTCTGTTGTTTTAAGTTTGCCCTTTGTTTTAGAGAATTTGGCTTCTGCGATTGAAAAATAGTCATCAAGCCGGTGATTAAGAGAGTTCAATTTTCTTTTTAAATCATTTTCGATACATTTCCTATCTTTCAGCGCTATGCGAATCAAATTTCCTATTCCACAAATTTTATTAGTACTCAATCCATATTTTGTTTGTAACTGTAACATATCTTCCGCAGATATTATTTTACGATTGTCTTTGGGAAACAGTTCTATTCTAAGAGGCTTTCCGTGCTTTTGGGATAAGGAAATAACATTACCTGCTGATTCAATACTTCCTTGATTATGTTTTTCAGCAACATTTCCTTTTATAAGCTCACACGTT